TGAGGGATAAAAACTCAGGAGGTGTGACACAGATACAGTATATATTTTGAAAATATTTACATGTATATACATTTATATATTTATATTCTTATATTTGATATTATACAGAAATATATTTAATATATAAACAACATATTTTTCTTAAATATATACATGCGTTTGTATTTATATATACGTAATAAATATACACAGTATACACATATATATATTATGTAAACAAAAACTTTTATTTTTGATGCGATTAATTGCGATTAATCGTTTGGCAGCACTACTAACAATGCTTTCAGACAACCAGAGCTTTAGCAAACCCCACAGAGGTGCAGAGGTTAAACAAAATGTGGCCGTTTACGAGGAGATCCCACTGTTGAGCTTCTGTCTGATGAGGCAAATGATTCTGTTCTAAGGCTTGATGTGCTTATATCCCAGCATGACTTCTGCTCTCTTTGCTCCTCCGGTCGTGCCCGTGAAATCGGCGCAGTGCAGCATTACCATTCAAGCCTCCAGCTATGTCAAATCTCAGTCTAGATCAATTATAGCATCCAGCTTCTCTTCCGAATCTGTCTGACAGATGCTGCGGTTTTATATGCATGTATCAAAATCTCATATTCATACATGTGAAATCCACTGATTAGGTGTCTTGAGAGGAGGATGTGGGTGGAGAGGGGATTGCAGTCTGGTGTTTTTGTCATTTTTGGGATATTTTGAGGTGAACAGATAGATAGATATAGATAGATAGATACTTATTTATACTTATTTGAGATAAGTTGTTGTTGTTTTTTAAAGAAATAAATACTTTTATTCAGCAAGGATGCGTTAAATTTTACCAAAAGTGACAAGGCTTTTACATTATTAAATAATAAACCAAATAAATGCTGTTCTTGTGAAGTTTCAAAGAAACCTAAAAAAATATGTCACAGTTTCCACAAAAATATAGCATAACTTTTCAATATCAATAAGAAATTATCTGAGCACCAAATGAGCATATTAGAATGATTTCTGAAGGATCATGTGACACTAAAGACTGGAGTAATGAAAATTCAGCTTTGCCATCACAGAGATAAATTACATATTAAATATATTAAAATATAAATTTTATTTGAAATTGTAATAATATTTCTCAGTGTTACCATTTTTAATGCAATTTGATCAATTAAATGCAGCCTTAGTGAGCATAACAGCATCTTTCAAAAATATATAAAAAAATCTTTTACATTTTTAAATAGTTTAACATTGCATTAGGCCTATGTATATTTACTGTAATATACTGCATCTATGATATTTAAAGTAAAAAAATATGAATTACCACTACCAGGTAATTTCCAGTTTTTCAGTATCTATAGGTAATACTTAAGAAAATAGTTTTTAATAAAAATGGGTTCCAACTTATAATTTACATTGAAAAACCATAAAAGGAGGTTAATTACTATTAAATGTAAACTTTACCAGAACTCAGCATGAATGTCTACTTTTTTCGTGCTGTACATTATAATTTCTGTGCCAAAGTTCCTTTGTACTTTTTAATTTGAACTAAAATCAGTCCATTTCAAATCAAGTTACAAAGGGAACCTTCAACCCATGATTTCATTTGAGATCCTGTTGCCCCTTTTTGGCCATGTCCCACTCTCATTCTGTTGTGGTGAAGTGCCATGCTGTTTTCCCATGGTGAATGGGATTACACTGACAGCAGAGAATGTTTGGTGTTGACACAGCATGCAGCTTGGTTAGTCCTCCAAATCCCCTGCTGTTCCTGAGACCAAACAGCAAAATCTGCTCATTTTTCAAACCAATTGCTTTGGGAATATGAACTGGCTAGAGGAAAGTCCTGTATTTGTGTAAGGGACTAAATAGGTCTTCCTCTGGTTTTAATTAAGAAAGACTCAGGGAACCAAGTGCTTCCTGTCCGACAGATTGTGCTTTGAATTTTTACGACAGGTTGTGTCAGCACAACTAAATAAACAATGTACACCCTAAGGATAAAATAAGAGAAGGATGAACACTGCACTACATCTTATCAAAGACACATATTGCAGCTTTTGACTATGAACATGTATTGTTTTGACTTGAAATGATAATTAAAAAAGATAAAAGTACAGTAGACACGACAGCCACGACAGCTATGATGTTTGGCACATCTTTTAACAAGAACCTGAAATTGACAACAGATGTTGGCACATACTTAAGAAACTTGTCTGACGCAGAGCTGAATAAATTTGGAGGACAGTGATTAAAATTGTCGTTTGCTTAACAATATCCTGATAAATTTACAAGAAAAAACACTAGATTTGCTTGCCAGAAATTCACCATGAAAAATTTTGATATTTTTGGTATTTGGTATTATGAGATGGCATATATAACTGTGTATTTTATCAAGTTATATAATGTTAATATACCTATCTACGTAAATGACCAAATCTGCTTTGTACCAAAAAATCTACTGGTAACCACCAGAATAATCATCGTAAGTGGCCTGTTCTTAAAACTCAACAAATACACCCTCCGAAAAAAAGGTACAAAGGTTCACTTTAGGTACTAATATGTACTTATAAGGTACTAATGTGCACTCTATATAGCTTTTTATATCTTTTTCGTAGTGTATATAGAATAGTCAAACACATAAAAACAACACACCATCAGGGTAAGAAACATGACACTAAAACTAAATAATGCTATAAGCAATAATTAACAGAAAATGGTGATATACACTACTGGTAATAAAATATATTAAAATATAATCATATGTGTCACATTATTTCACATTATTTTACAGTAAAATGACATATAATGCAATGTTCAACCATTTACAGTTTTTCACCATATATGGTAAGGTGTCCCACCCACTGTGAAATCTTATTGGTCCAAAATCCTTTTCCTCATAACTACATTAAACATCAATTTTTTATTTTTATTTTTTATTTTTTAATGTGGCTTTCCGCAAAAGATTTTACATCTAGCAGCAACTAAATAGGGAAATTACTAATCCTGTGGTTGCCCCATTTTTGATTTATCTTTAATCCAGCCATGATATTTATTTTATAACAATTATAACATTATAACTCAATTTGTAACAGTGCAAAAATGGTTTTTATGATAATTTTACACCATTTTAATCTAAACTACTCTCTATTGATAGGATGAGAGATTTATATTCATCAAATATCTTTCATCATAATGAATCAATGTAGTCAATCATTAGCTCATTATTGACAAGATCAGATAATTAATCATGTCTGTTGTTTGCATAACCCTTTCTGAGAGAAAACAGTGGTTCATGGACCGCTTGGTTTGCATGTTAACAACCTTTCTTGTGCCTAATTGGAGAAGCTGACTCCCCCACACCTTTAAGCCCTTTTGGCCCATTCCAACAGGTTTAATCGCTCGGCTTCAAAGGCTTGTTTTGATGCCCTGAACCTTGTCTCTCCCCAGAGACTAAGGTCTGTTCGGCCTTGGGGCCTTAAAAGGGAGAGGGAGGTTTTAATGAAAGACAAGAACAGACTGCAGAAAACACTAAGTAAGTGTGTACAGAGCTGGTCATTATCACAGCACAGAGTGTTGTGCCAGGAGCTGTACCATATGACTTTCAACACTTTGACAGCCTCCTTTTTCTCAAGGGATTGCACTTAAAGCCCCTGTCAGACACCTGCCACAAGGTCAGAGGACACCTGGACGGCTTCTGCCACATTTCAATCAGATGTATCGATCAAGTGTCTGAAGCAGAGGAGTTGCTTAAATATGTGCTGAGTTGATGTGTTTTATCAATATAGTGTCAATATAGACGCTATCGAGTGTCGGAGTATTTGGGGCTCAGTCCAGACATCTGCGAATGCCTATTCTTTGAAAAAATATTGGAATATGATACACTTGAAGTATTAAGTATTGAAACATTACATCTGTGGTGTGTCATTGTTTATGAAGTAGATCTCTCAAAATTACGGCTGGAACTAAAACTAAAAAGACCCCTCTAACCTATAGTCTCAGCCCCAGGCATGGCCAAAATAATCAAAAATTGTTTTTGATCTTTTTGGCTTTCCATAGTCTAGTAAGTGCTTTACACTTATAATAGTTTTGTCATTCACTCCCCAGGTGTTTTTAAGGTTCTTTATAAGTACAATGGGTGCTTCTGAGAAGAATTTGTGTTATTTTTGAAAAAGTAGTTATTTTAAATTGAAATAATATTTCATAATATTACTGTTTTACCGTATCACAAACTGTTTTACCGTATCACATCACATCCTTCCAGAGGGACAGACGTCCTGTAGGATGTGTCACTCATCGTGTATGTGAATAGCATAGCATGATCATGAACAGAGAGGGGAAGAGGTAGGGCAGTGAAAGTGTATAATGTTATGTCGTTTTAACGACATCTTTTCTCGTTAAAACGACATCTTTTCTAGTAATAACGACATATTTTCTCGTTAAAACGACATCTTTTCTAGTAATAACGACATATTTTCTCGTTAAAACGACATCTTTTCTAGTAATAACGACATATTTTCTCGTTAAAACGACATCTTTTCTCGTAATACGACATCTTTTCTCGTTAAAACGACATCTTTTCTCATTAAAACGACATCTTTTCTTGTAATAACGACATCTTTTCTCATTAAAACGACATATTTTCTCATTAAAACGACATCTTTTCTCGTAATAACGAAATGTTTTCTCGTTAAAACGACATCTTATCTCGTAATAACGACATGTTTTCTCGTTAAAACGACATCTTTTCTAGTTAAAACAACATATTTTTTCTCGTAATAACTAGGGATGCGCCGATCCGATATTCATATCGGGTATCGGCTCCGATAGTGCCATTTTTCTCGGATCGGGTATCGGTCAGAGAGGGCCGATCTAAATCCGAGATTTATTTATTTTTTTTCGATTGTGCAAATTATTCTGTGTTACTTCTGAAGCCATATGATAGCTTAACCCTTTAACGCGTACGATCACACCAGTGTGATCAGTCTTGGCTGGTCCCTGGAGCATACGATCACACCGGTGTGATTAGAACTTTCAGTGCGTCACGTCATCAACTGCTGAATTTAAATCCGCTTTCGCGCTTTGGCTGGCGCGGAGCCAGATTGGACACGCTGACCGCTTGTCATATTATCACAAATTTTCAGTGTTTTCAACCATATAATAGTGATGGGAAGTTCGGTTCTTTTCCGCGAACCGGTTCTTTCGGACAGTTCGATTCAATAAACCGGTTGAAAAAACCGGTTCACCGGTTATTTTACGCTCGACGTAATGACGTAATTGGCGATGACGTAATGGCGTTAAGTCTATCGCGGGCTTAACACATTCAAATATAAAGTCAGTAATCATAACATCAGTCAATTAAAACATCATTATAATCTGATACGTTTCTTACAATTTGGATTTTTGTATCTAAAGCATCAACACATATACAGGCAGTGATCTGCAAACTAGGATGTTTTACAGTTATGACGTCAATAAATTAGTCTTCATCAGCGCAGAAACTATGCTCCACTTACTATGTATAATCCATTACGGTTTATTTGTAATTAAGTAAATTTACGTTTCGCCGGATTGCCCTTCAGATTATCAGTTCCACACACAGAGATATATAAATTCTACATTTATTTAAATGAGGGAAAAAAACTTCACTGGTATCGGATCGGTATCGGCCAATACCGAACCCTAGGTATCGGAATCGGAATCGGAGGCGAAAAAGGCGGATCGGAGCATCCCTAGTAATAACGACATATTATGTCATAAAAACGACATGTTTTCCCGTTATTATAGATAGGCTATATGGTACATTATGTGAGCAAGCTAAGCGACTGTCCACGCTGCTGTCGCCAGTCTGACATAAACGAGGATCTGCACACTGCTGAAATGATTGAAATACACTTTTTTAAACGTATTTTAATGTAATGGTTTTAATTGTAGCGGCATGTTTATTAGGATTAATCTCCAATCTGTCTACTACGGTGACGCATTGCTGCCACACACATATTATTTTTTCCACTCAATTATGTCGTAATAACGAGATGTTATGTCGTTTTAACGACATCTTTTCTCGTTAAAACGACATCTATTGTGCACTGATTTTTCTAGAATAACTTTTGCTGCCGAAGTATCCACTAACCTAGTTTGATACATTTTTGTCATAGATTATAAATATACATAGGCCTATATTTTTTCAGATTTATTGTTTATTTTATTTTTCTTTATAATGAAGTAGTCTGTATCTAGTAGATTGTGAAAGAATGATTATCAGTTCCACACACAGAGATATATCAATTCTACATTTATTTAAATGAGGGAAAAAAACTTCACTGGTATCGGATCGGTATCGGCCAATACCGAACCCTAGGTATCGGAATCGGAATCGGAGGCGAAAAAGGCGGATCGGAGCATCCCTAGTAATAACGACATATTATGTCATAAAAACGACATGTTTTCCCGTTATTATAGATAGGCTATATGGTACATTATGTGAGCGAGCTAAGCGACTGTCCTCGCTGCTGTCGCCACAGTCTGACATAAACGAGGATCTGCACGGTGCTGAAATTATTGAAATACACTGTTTTAAATGTATTTTAATGTAATGGTTTTAATTGTAGCGTTAAAATGAGAAAATATGTCGTTTTAACGAGAAAACATGTCGTTTTAATGAGAAAACATGTCGTTATTACGAGAAAAAATGTCGTTTTAACGAGAAAAGATGTTGTTTTAATGAGAAAAGATGTCGTTAAAACGAGAAAAGATGTCGTTAAAACGACATATCTCGTTATTACGACATAATTTAGTGAAAAAAATAATATGTGTGTGGCAGCAATGCGTCACCGTACTTTATTGCCCACCCTCTGTGGTCATCTATTAGCATTGAACTTTAAGTCATCCTGCATTGTTCAAATGTACCGCAGACCGAAAAGGGACCTTTAGCATAGACACAGATAAACATAATCCAGATGCCCTTTGAGCTCTTTTGTTCAAACCCCTTGTTGATTCTAGATGGAGGAAACAATGTTTGCAAGTGTAGAGAACACAATTAAAGAGGGCACGGTCCCCTCAGTCTGTAAGGTCAGAAGAAACAAATCAATTTACCAGGGAATGACCAATCAGTGTACGCTGTGGTCGATCTTAAATGCCATTGAATGCCATTGATTTGGGAGCGAAAGAGGTTAATAAAAGAGTTTTTTTTTGTTTTTGTTTTAGAGTGCTGTCTTTGTAAATGTAATCTTGCTCCACGATTGTAGGCATTGTATTTCACTGGAAAACCCTTAAATATCCTGGAAATGGACTGTTGTACTCTTTTGCAGCTTTACTTTCTCCTCCTGTGTGTCGCTATAAACAATTGTTGTATAAACTAATGCTATTCTGTACATGTATCTTTGTAGGGAGTGTAGCGTGCTTGGAGAACAAGGGAATTCTGGTCTGCCAGGTCATAGCTGAAACACAGAATTTGTCTACAAAGCACTTCTCAAGAAATGTTTTCATTGTGTTTACTTAAGTTAAAACATGAGCATCCTGGATTTTATTCTACCTCTTTTATGTTATCCTTCTCCCTACATTAATCTACCCTTATTTAGGAAAAATCTGCTGCAGTTTTCACAAAGCTTTCAGTGCTATCATGAATAATGCTTTTGGTTCCAAAATGGATTTTTACAGCAATGCCATAAGAACCATTTGGGGTTCGCCAAAGAACCTTTCAATGTACAGTTCTTAAAGGAACCACTTTTTCTTAGTGTGAAGAATATTCTAAAGAGCCCTTTTCCACTTTTGTGCAATGGAACGTTCCATGTATGTTAAAGGATCTTCATGGAACCACAGAAGAAAAGAAAGACCCTTTATTTTTAAGAGTGTGTCAGGAACATCTCAATTTAAATTGGCTAGTAGCACGTTGCAACTAGGAGACACTTGTGGCAAAACAATGTGAATAGCAGAAAGTTAAAGCATTTAGGCTTGTTAGCTGCACACGGCTGGTGATCCTCTCCAACAGTGAGAATCGGCTACAGGTAATTAGCTAGGAATGCTGTTTCTAATAAATTATTCATGACCTCCGACACTAATCAAGATTAGTAGCACCAAGCATGACAGGCAAAATGCAATCAGTCTGGCGTCAAACAATAAAGAGCAATTAACCAAGCAACGGATCTGATAAGTAACGGCAGCCATTAATATTTCACCTTCTTCAGTCGCGGGTTTAGATTGATTAAAGCTACTGTGATGCTCATTCTGTCCCATTTCATTTCTTTACTCAAGCTGCAAAGTGAAAAATTCACGCACATGCTGTTTCAGAGTAGTGCACCACAGGGAATGTCATCAATAATGAATCCTCAATCTCGTCGCACTCCAAGATTCATACTTACTACCTGCCCTGTGCCAAGCTTTCCTTTGAGTCTTCAGTGTGGAGGAATGCTATTTTTCCTCCATCTTGCATGTTTTATTGTGCTTTGGTGGACATGAATTTGCTTTGCTGTTTGCTTGGTGTGATTAAATATGTGCCATGACCTGTGGTTGTGTTTCTTTTCACAGCTAATAAGAACAGTCGGAAAGAGAGAGCAGAGGCACTGCATCTTTTGACCTGAATCCTGAACTACATCAAAGAACTCATGGTAGGTGCTTTTGCTTATTAACATAAACAGAGCATCTGTGTGTTCTTAAAGCGATAGTTCAACTGAAATCGACCCTCATTCTGTTTTAAGTTTGGTTATAAACATGGATGATGTTACTTTTGCTTTTCGGCAGTGTCTATTTACACTAATTTCAAATAGCCAACTTTGTTTGCGAAGGCTATTTTCACTTACTCCGCCCACTATTGCGCAGATATTTTTTATTTAGTACCACAGAGAATATTACTTACATTTACACTTTGTTTGAAGAGCATCTAAGATATACCTGCTGCAAACAGTATCTAGCATTATTTACACAACACTAGACGCTTACTATTTTTTTCAAGTGTAAAGTCACATTAACACATACATTTCTGTAGAATTTCATAGGCAATTTTGTCTGTTGTCATGTCAATAGTGTAACGATGTATGAATTCACTTCCAAACCAAGCAGCTTTCTGTTGGTCAGTGGCACAAGTTCACGTGAGCAACTTGGACCTGTTTTCAAAATCTACACGGTGAAATCTTTCACCCTAATGAAAAATGATTGGTCGCATGGATTCTTACTAAAATGACTGGATTCTGCCCTTGAAAGTCCATTAAATAACAGTAAATGTGACTGCACCTTAACACAAAAGGTTAAGTTTTGAAGAATCTTTACACTGCTCTTTGCCATTCAGTGTAAAAAAAAATGCTTAAAAAGAATGTTGTTCTTATAACTCATGTAATAGTTTCAGTCTTTTGAAATCACTCCATAGTTCTGTGTGAAGAAAAGACTCAAATTTAAAATATTTCCAGTTCTCTGCATTTCATTCTCCATTCTGTATATTCAAACTTGGTTGTCACATTCGGCTACAACACAATGGAATTTGGTGTCAAGGACGTCAAACCTGGTGCATTTTTTAATCTGAATGCAAATTCAGATAAGATTTCAGAGCTTTGGCAGAAGGGAACATTTTCTGTGAATAACAACTCATTCCTTAAACAAAGGTGACATATGACTTCAGAAGTCTCATATGAAACCACATTTATGGTGGCTTTATATAATCATTTTTACAGTTTGACGGACATTGTCACATTGTATGGAAAAAAATTGAAATAATAATTCACAAATTTTGCATTTCTTGTATTGTGCATTACATACGTCCTCTCTTTGTGCTTTGTCTTTCTCTTCACAGCTATGATAATCACAATCAATACCTTTTACCAGTGTAGATGGGATTTACTCAGTTCAGGGCAATGATTTTGCTATACATAATAATTGCTTTGTAAATTCACCAATCAATACAACATTAATCCAGTCCATGCAAGCAATTTTTGCCTCTTCCACACAGTGCACATTCCATGCACCATATCTAGCAGATAGCTTCATTAAAAAGGAAATGCTACACAAAAATGAACTGAGTGGAAATGCAGTGAAATCATTGTGTTGACAGTGTTGTTTGGCTGGTGGAGGGCTGTTGGTGCACAAAGCCATTGTGACACTGTCAACAGCAGGGAGGTGATTGTCTTATACAGAAGCAGCATCTTTTATTTCTCTGTCATGGCTGGGATCCGGTCTTTGTGGGGAACTGATTTGCATTAAAACTCAGTGCATTAAAATTCCACACACATACCAGCAATACACATACGTGGTGCTCAAAGTTAAAGGTCCCGCTGACAGAGATGCATCAACCGCTCTGTTCACCCTCTAAAGCCGACCCTCAAATGCCAAATAAGCAAAATGCTATGTTGATGAAGATTTGTGGTTTGACTTTTATTTTTGCCCTTCGTGCCTTTTAGGTTGCTTTGTTAAAGAAAGCATCTGCAAAGATGGAAATGAAAATCAGCCATCCTGTATTTACTGTGGAAGCTGTCATGCCGCAGACAGTTTCTAAAGTTAAACTGATGGCACTTTATAACAGATGGTAACTCTCAATAATCATCTCCACGCCATCCATCTATAACAATGCTGGAGATTGGAGCTCTCAAGTGGCCACTTCAAACAGGGAGTCTGATGCTGTGTAATGGCGTCTGTCATTTCTAAATTTTCACATCAATATTTTCATATTAATCATGCGGGACTCATTCACACTGTACCTCAGAATGAAGGAGCTCAATACACATTTAATTCTGTTAATTTCCACATCATTTACAGTATGATTCTCTCAGATCCATGTATGGTGAAAAGCAAGGGGAGGCTAGGATGTGTCCTTAAGAGCAATGTGCAGTTAATGATAAATCGTAACATGTTTAGAGATGAATTTCACATGCATGATGCATCATCCACTTTTTATTAAGAGAAATAAATGGAAACATTTGCTAATATAGTTGTTACAAATCATTGAAAAGCATGTGTCATGTTTCCCCCCTGTTTGGGAAAGATGAACCACTTCCTGTGGCAATAACCCACCTGTTCCAGCTGTCTACCGAGTACCGATACCAATATTTTATTGCATTTGTACATTTTTAAAATATTGGGTACAGAAACCAAAAGAGTATGTATGATGTTAGTTGGTTAACTTCATTTATCAAATAGATACAGTCAAACCAAAATGTATTCAGACACCTTCAACATTTCTCATATTATCACAGTTTATTCGCTATAGTTTAGAAAATAGTAATAAAATATAACAAGAACTCAAAGTTGTTGTGTCAGAACAAATTCAGCTTGATAATGTTAGATAACTTTGATAGAAAGGTATGTAGCCTAATGGATT